GATACCCAGACTACAGGAAATCACCAAATTCAGCGTATGAATACCCCTGGCTTGACAAGCTGACGATATCTGCGCGTGGCAGCCTAAGGTCACTCCCAGGAGAATTCCCAGTCGTGGGGAGGCCCTCTTGGGGGAAATGTATTGGACATATAGTCGTTTCTAAGAAGGATATAACAATCTTACTTGGTTCAATCGTCAAGAAGGCACGCCTCAGAGGGGGGGTGTTCTAAACATAGCCTTTCAAGCGGTACCCAGGCTGGTATGCTCTATATTGTATAGGGTGCACCCAAAAGGCCACAGTTTGGAGCAACTCGGGGATGACAAAAGGGCATTGATTGCGCGGAATATGTAGAAATTACTTGGGTTTAGGGTTCAGGGTTTAGGGTTTAGGGTTCAGGGTTTATGGGATTCAGGGTCATCATTTGCCTTTCTAGGCCAGTAGGATCAACACTGGGAGTTCAAGTTGTTCTACACAGGTTGCGCTTTACGATGCAGACTCCTGAAACTCATGGCCTCAATGTTATAGTATAGCTATAAATAAATGGCCTTCAACATTAACGGTTACCCCACCATGCTGGGTCTACGGGTTTGTTTTTTGTTCTGCTCTGCCAGGCCAGGTGTGACACGGGGCAGAGGTCCTGTGCGCCCCTGCCTTTACCACAGGAAGTTCGGCCCTTATGGGGTGTTGCTGCCTTAAGGGCTTCAGGTTCCCTTTCTGAAGCGGGTCGCCAACTGACTTCGAGGAACCTATTGGAAGGCATGGAATGACTTGCCAAGTCAGAAAGCTAGGACACAGATAAGGGATGATGGTGAATATTAAGAATTAGGGGTCCCGCTTGCTTACTCCGTTACTGTAGTCTCGTCCCCGCCAAGCTCACAGATGGGCTTCACTGAAAATGAGGACCGGCTTATTGAGAGTTTTTTGGAATACTGGCGCCCAGGCGTTCTTTTTGCTTTTTGGGAATTCAGCGTTGATCCCCCGCAGCCTTGAACCCCAGTCGTTGGGGTCGCCGGGTCAAACTGCAAGGGGATGACCCACAACGACATGTTTAGCATAAGTTAATAGCATCACGTCGGAGACCCTGGCTTCAGCAGCCAAGGAATTGGGGTTTGATAATCCTTCGAACTTCTTCCTCGTAGAGTCAATCACGATCTATCTATCTTTTCAGGTCTAGTTCGAGCGGCGATGCTTCACCAGTGTCAGGCCATGTACCGAGATTGGAGTATTTGCATGGTTTAACTTCTTGAAGCTCGTGTTGGACAGCACGTTGGAACATGGTCTCAGTTTCTCATGATGGGTACTGTATGGCTTGGCCTTTCCACTCCGTGGTTTGACAGGAAATTCAGAGTCACCATGACCAGCCCATCAGAGTTGGCGATCGAAGGAATACCGAATACTGATCCAGTCCTCGCGTCTTGCAGAAGGGGCGCACCCTGAAGCATCTGTCCAGAGATTGGAACCTGTTCAACAGATGCGAACATCATGAGTTTAAAGCCCATTTGATGTACTGAGCTATCATCATCCCTGGTGGGATCACACCTACGCGTATTTGTCTCAGAGTCCTTGCATGTGGGATTTCATAAGGGGAAAAGGCCGCCCTTGAATGGCATAAGAAGTGTTCTTCTGGTGATTGTCTGGCAGCCCCTTGAAAACTGAACCAAAGCTGTTGCACTCTTGTACCCTTTCTGGTTGTTAGTGTGGAATGGAGAAGAGGTGATTAGTTTCCAGTTTTGTTGCATTCCTTCAGTCCCTACTACTGACTATTCAATAACCTAAACCTCCGTGCCAGCAAGCACTGCAGCACGACTCCCCGCTATAGACAGGCTCGGTGTGTTTCACAGGGCCAGGTGACATGCAGGATTAGAGAATCCAGGAAGACTGGAATGTGACCATAGTTTCTTGAGGTCCCCATGAGGCATCCATGTTTGTTTTGCGTGGCTATTGGCTTCAATCAGGGGGCGGTTGGAAGAATGCAGGAATTTGCGCAGCGGCTTCAAGGTTGTGTGGTGTCACCTGTGCCAGGCTAGCTGAGGGTTGTAGAGGTCGGAAGTCTTGCCTAGAAATTTGTTCAGTGCTGGGGAGGGACTTTCAGTTTTCGTTCCTTTCGTCCCACCATCTGCCAAGATGTGAGCTGTAGTTTAATATAGGGGGGGTTTATATAGGGAAGTATTATGAGGGTTATTAAAGGGAGGATACTAGGAGTTTAGACTGTAATTAGTTCATGTGAGTTTTTTGCATGCTGTCAAGCTCGTGTTGGACAACACCTTGGAACTCTCATGATGGATTTGGCTTGGCCTTTCTACTCGGTGATCTGAACATCTCACTTGAGGCAAGCTCCCATGGCGATGGCTGCAGGCTCAAAGTCTTCGTGCTGATGAGCTGCAGATGTTGCTGGCGCAGAATTGACTGAACTCCAGGGCAGGTGAAGCACAATGAAGCCCAGGCTCGTCCCCTCAGTCATGACCCATGTCCAGCATCTGTCTGGACACTGTGACTTCCTCCAGGTCGCTTGCGAAGAGGAGCAGCAACGTTTTATGCCATCTGTATGCCTTTGCAACGGACAGATGATTAGAGGCCCCCCCGGTGCTATGGCGGGGGCCTGGCAGTCCTTCCTTGTGCAGCAGGTACTTGCAAAGAGATCGTCGTTTCATCGTGGACTTCCGGAGCATGCTGAGCAGTTCTGGGGATTGGCGATTCGCTCGGCTTGTGGAAATGCTCTCTCTCTCTCTCTCTCTCTCTCTCTCCTGCTTTCGCTTGTGATGTTGTGATGAACCCTGAGGTCTTCGGTCAGACGTGCTCCAAATTGAACTGTGAGCACCTCAACTGTTCTACAGCGGGTACTTAGACGAAGTTGTTCTGCCTGTAGGTGCTGGAACTTGTCTGCGTTTGTCGGTGGAGCTGAGCTTCGAAGTGAGAGGGTGAGGAGATGAAGGCTGGTTCTGGCTCTGGTTGTTCCACAGCGATGTAGGCAGTGCAGAGTGCCAGGTTCACCCTATAGCGGTCTCCTTCATTCGCCTTCCTCAGCGAAGTGATCCGGGCACTGTTTCTCAGCATTGGACAGTGCCGCATCCTTCCCCGACGCCATCACTTTCGTGTGCAGACATCTTCGCTTGGCCATCGAACATCCGATGGAGGCGTCCCATCTCCGGTTTCAAAATATGCGCCTGCCATGTAGCGAAGCAGCCGGGGTGCTGACGATTCTGGGACACTTGGCAGAATCTCACAACACCACATGCCTGCTTGCCTGTAGACGGTGTGGCTCGAGCTCTAGCAACGTCCTGTCTCGCAGCATCTTCAAAATGCGGCTGTTCTGTTCCAGGAGAGGCAACACACCGTCAAATTCTTGTGGGGTTCGAAAATGTTATATCCCCAACCCCAAGATTACTAATGCTTAGTTACTTGATGGACTCAGAAAAAGGGCCCTCAACTTGTTGGGAACCCGCACAGTAGCACCTCACGCTTTTCCAGCTCGGTCTGCCAACATATCGCGGCCATGCCTCTGGCATTCCAGGAGAGAGCCTGGCCTAAACGGGCTCATATGAGCTATAGTCTAAACTCATTAAAGGGGGGTGCAGGGCTTAGGGTCTAAACTCCTAATTTGAATGGGGATAAAATAGGGGAGTATGATAGGGGCTTTCCAAGGGGGAGATTAGTTAGGAGTTAGGACTATAGCGCATATAAGCTACTGTCTACATTAGCCTTACCAAGGGGCCAAAAAGGGTGGACATAGGGGTCCTCGTGTGGTTAGTATGAGTGGATATATAGGGGAGTGGGAAAGGACATGAATATTATATATATATATATATATGGACACCCCGCCCGGGTCTAGGATTATGTTTCGTCTAATTTGGTGTTTTGATACCTTTTATTTATTTCTGTCCAACGTGACAATCCTCGAATCCTGGTTTTCTGATTTGGAAGGGATTCTGGTTCATATAAATTCCCTATTAAACTTATTTGGAATCAATACGAAAATCTATATTATATATATATATAGGGCAATCCACTGGCCCTTGTCCTTTTAATAACCACGGATTCTCGACTTTGACTCTGCGTTGTAGTTCTCCTTTTAGTGAAAAAACAAACCTGGTCACGAAGCCAGAACAAACCTTGAAAAGAGAGTTTCTGGGTGAAGGTTTAGGGGGTTTTAGGATTCAGAGATTGTGGCTAAGCATGCGGGTAGAGTACAATTGGATTCGTACAAGCCATACTTTGGCTTTGGTGATATGGTGGCTGTCAGACAGAACCATGGTTACCTGTAGTATGAGAAGTCAATCAATGATTGCAACCTGGAACATCTAGTACAACTATGTGATTGAATGGACATCGCGCAATCCCCAAAGGGGGAATCCTCTCACTGCTGCACCAAGGATACCCAAGAAGCCCTAAGACCCACAGAAAAGCTTGATGACTAGCAGCAGTGGTGCCGGAGGCTGTTCTTAGAAATTCGCCCAGAACATGCTGTGACTATTCGATTGAAGCGCATATGAGATTTTCTCAGAATCATTCTACTAAGGCAGCTGTGATCACGTTTGCATAATGGCCAAGAACTTATACCCCCGCCTCTCCACGAATTGCTGTCAAGGATTCATCGCGGACTTCACGATGAGTTCCGTCATCAACAGTTCTCGGCCTTAGCCCTAAACCCTAAATGACAAGGGCCATCTACGGCGAGTGAGTGCTTTTTCGCAAGGGTTTGCTTTCTGCTTTTCTCTGGCAGCCGATGGAAAACCATATTGCATGTTTTCTGGAACTGGAGAGGTCTAGCATTTGCAGACTACCTACGAGCGTGCCTGTCAGGTCCCTTTTTTTGGAACAGGCACATGAGCTGTCGTCCAAATTCTTAAAAGGGGTTAAATAAGGATTATATAGGGGAAGTTTAGACCATAGCTCACATGTTGCAATCTCGGTGTGCGAACATGTTTGTCTATGCTTGCCATCTTTGCTCGAGTTTTGTAGGGGTATTCATCCTGACTGATCATAGAGCCTCAGGCCAGCCATGTGGGCTCTCTCGTGGCAAGATCCCAATGGTCCTCCCCCGGCCTTCAGTCAGATGGCGGCTCCACCAAGCATTAGCATTCCCACGGAGAGCACGAACTCGACGCTTTTGACGCCCCTGACCAGTAGAAGCTGGGTTGATGTTAAGGAACTTAAATTAAGTTACTATATTGGGGAAACCCTATACATGCCCATTATGGTAGCTTAATTTAAGTTCCTTAGCAGCAACCCAGGAAGCTTGCATGCAGAGCCAGAAACCACGGCTTTGGCTCATGCCTCGCTCTTTTCTGCAGGTGACCCTGCTTTGAAAGCATTCAGCGCTGGTTACTTGGTCGCTGTTAATCAAGTTATATATATATATACACATATAGTAGACATTAATTAATACGGTTTTCCCAATATACAAACTTAAAATAAGTTCCTTAACAGCAACCCAGGTTATGCCTCATTCGCGCAGCCTGATGGGAAGCTGACCTTGAATGCTTTGCTTCAGGGCTGCCAAGATTTCGAGCCGCTGCAGACGGCTGATGATAGCCAGCCCAGCACCAATCCAACTACCCCACGTCAGGCCCCGGTGCCGATGTTGCAGGCCCCAGTGCTCCCTATGCCTGTTGTGGCCCAGGTGGCCCAGAAGATTTCTTCTCCGTCACGCACTCCGCCACGCTCTCCGCCACCCTCGCCGCTGCCGAAGGAGAAAACTTCTTCGCTTCCGGCAACGCCAAGTCAGGCGACGGCCAGGGAACAGTGCGAGGAGTCAGTGCTTCCGGTTGAAGTCTACAGCAGGAAGGTTTCGGAAGCCTCTCATGAGGCTCACGATGCTCCGCTTTCGGAAGCGGCCGGTGCCAGCCCGAAGCTTGCGACCTCAGATGCTGGTGAGGCTGTGGTCAGCTCTACCATGGAGGTGAGAGTTCATCGAAATGATGCCAATAGAATCCGTGATTTGCACCCCCGTAATTTAAGCCTTTCATAATCCCTATAAATCCTAAGGTTTAAGGTGGCTAAGGGCCCCTCTTCTGTAGAAACCGCCAGGAGCCACAGCCAAAGAGCCACGGGCCGTCGCCCGGGCCATCACCCGGGCCATCACCCGGGCCATCACCCGGGCCGTCGCCCGGGCCGTCGCCCAGAGCCAGCGAGTGCCAAGAGCCCCATGCCGTTGCGAAGGACCAGGCCAACTGCCAAGCAACCGTTATTGCTATTACTGGATCAATGTTAGGGATCCATCATACTTTTTGGGGTATGGGATACTGTATGTTTATGCAAAAAGGATCTATTTTTCTTCCTATGGTAATGTGGGCTAAGAAAAGGTTTAGGGTCCATAGGATTTGAACCGACCACCAGGCAACTTTTACTACTATTAGGTGTAGGGTTTAGGGTGACCACCAGGCATTACATGCGAGTACCATTCTTGCTTGTGTCAGTTTTACTCTTTAGTATCAGTCATTGTCGTGATTGTTATTACTTGTGATGTCTATTGCTACCATTATGGAACCTTCTTGTTGCCCCTAATGCTCATTCCTTTACTAATACTTGCACACAAATGTTAACCTTGCTCTTCCTGTAATCCCCCAAACCCCGAACCTCAAACCCTAAGCCCTAAACCCTAAACCTTAAACCCCTATAGTCTCCTTTAAGTAGATATAGACTATGGTTTGGGTATATTAGAATAAGATCGCCATATTACCCCATACTCTATCTACTTAAGGAGGACTATAAAATGCAATCTTTCCAGGTTGCCTCGGAGCCTGCCAGCCCAAGCCGGCCAGCTGAAGATCGCTCTGAGCACGGTGATGGCCGAAGCGTTGGGACGGTGCCAGGGGTGCTGAGTTTAGGGTTTAGAGTTTAAGGTTTAGGGTTAGGGTTTAAGGTTTAAGGTTTAGGGTTCAGGGCCCCGTTTCTCCAGGGGCTCTTGAGCTCTGTATGGAGAGGGTTTGCCAGACTGACAATAGTCAGCCGATCGTGTTTTGCGTTTTTCATCTTGGAGCGGGGCGGGGGACAATCATAACACAGAGGGTGGGGGTAGGACTAGGTAGTGTGGACTACTAGGGTAGTACAAGAAGAAGGAAAATCCAGTGAAATCGGGGCATTTTACAGTGAACAAAAGTCTTATTGTGACCGATGCCTTTATTGCCGATGGAACTTGCTTGTAAGCTTTCGGGCTCCGAACTTATGACTAAGCAAAAGTAATCTTCCGAGTGTTTGCATTGCTGGCCCGGTGGGAATACTTTATTGTCACCCCTGTATTCCTGGCAGGTTAACATTAAGCTATACCCAGACCCCTGAGAGGATCTAGAAAGTCGAACCCCCATTCTGGCACCCTATACTACGATTGGCTAACTTCTAGGAACCCTTAAGGGTGTTCTACTTTCTAGATCCGCCTGGGGGTCTGGGTATTCAAAAAGGGCGGGAGTTTTTTCGTCCCAGCAACAAAGGGGTTCACAGGTATTCCTCAGTGACATGGAGCCGGCGACCCCCATGACCCCTGTGACAGTCCCACTGGAGGCCCGGGCTACAGCCCAGGCTGAGGTCCAAGCTCGCGCCCAGGCCAGGGTTTAGGGTTTCGGGTTTGGGGTGCCTTAGCCATCATAAGCCACCATCATCCCAGTTTCCAGGCCCAGGGTACGTAGCTTGAAGATTTTGGGGTAGCTCATAACCCTCACAAATCATGTAATATTATCTTCCATTTCTTTTCTGTTTGACCTTCTATTATTGGAGTATAATATCCCTATAAACCTCTTTGGAGGCATCTAGGATTTCCATGGCATTTTCCATGTTCTTTGGTGAGTCTCCATTAATTGGGCATGTAAGCAGAGACTTTCCTCAGCAGGTCTCGTCTCCCACATCTCCGCAGACCGCACAGCCCATGGACACAGCGAATGATGATGCCAATGGCAAGTTCAAGAGCCCCGTGACAACCATGACGACTGTGGCTTCTGAGAATGACCTTGAGGCTTCTTTGTTATCCCAAGCCGTAAAACCTAAGCCCTAAAGCCAGGTGCATTCGACAGATAATTACGTACATTGAATAAACAGGAGTCCTGAGCTAGATCAGTTGCTAGCTTCCCGGAAGGAAACCCAAGCACACCGTTGGTCCTTCCTAGAGAGAGTACATCTATATATATATTATATATCTTTATAGCGTATCCCGAACATGGCCTCTACCAGCAGTCCAACCGTAATAGTAATGATATTTGCGGCAGTAGAAGCAGGAAAAGGAGTAATAAGGATAATAGATAATAGTGCTGGTAACCGTGGCCTTTGCCAGCAGCAGGATGCTTCGCCAAATCAGCGCACTTCGTTGGGAATCGGCTGCTGTTTCGGTTCCGGGCAGAAGCCAAAAGCAGTTGCTTCCAATTGGGATCCGGAGTGGATCTCAGAGACTTCGGCAAGCCTGGGCCGGGGACTTAGGATTTAAGGCTTAAGGTTTAGGATTTTGGGCTCATAAGGTTTAGGGTTTGGGGGCTTAGGGTTTAGGGTTTAGGGCTGAGGGTGTAGGGCTTATAGGGTGAAGATCAAAGCATTCAACGGCAATCAGTAGCTCGCATGAAAGTCCCTGAACGTGTAGAAGCCTGACCATTAAACGGGGTTGTAGCCACAAAACCCCTGCAATCCTACTAGAGGTACATGTATTGTTATAGTGCAAGTACCCCCCCAAAAAAAATGATCAAACTGCAGTCGTGGAGGTAGTGTATAGGAATGACTTTAAGGGATCTCAAAAGTGGCTCCCATGAAGAGGTCCCCAGTTTCTACCCCCAACTACTCGTAGAAAAAAACCCTAGAAGGGACACCGCATACAGGACCTGTGATAAGGATCCACCTCCTCCTCCACCCTCCTTGGAGCACAAAACCCTACAGCCTACACACTAAACCCTAAATCATCCTCTAAACCCTGAACCCTGAACCCTAAACCATCCTAAGCACTATAAAGCCTAAACCCTAAACCATCCTAAACCCTAAATCCCTAAACCCTAAACCATCCTAAGCCCCAAGCCCCTAAACCATCCTACAACCTGCAAGTAAAAGCGAGGTGAGGACCTTTGGGATGCTGGGAAAGATGCTGCATCCTTCCTTGGCGAGCAGATGGAGAGGGCGCAGCCGCATGTGGGACTTTCCCCAAGAATTGGTTCAGGGCTTGGGGTTTAGGGTTCAGGGTTAAAGGGTTTAGGGTAAGGTGGGGGGGCGAGGTGCGCAGGGAAAACTTCCAGGTGGGGATACTCAGTCCTTGATACTTCAGGCCCTCAAACCCTAAACCTGCACAGATTCTCATGAAGCCCCTGAACCCTATAACCTAAATTTGCATAAAATCCCCACAAAGCCCCCAGAGCGCCCAAAAGGTGCAGTCGCTTGCCAACTCTGCCGCACGAGCTGCTGTGGAGGGCCTCCGAGGCAGAATGGGTGTAGGGGCTTGCCATGCAGGGCTTGCGGATTAGGGGTTTAGGGTTGTAGGGTTTAGGGTTGAGATTTTAGGGTTTTGGGTGTTGGGGTTTAGGGTTTAAGGTCTGGTTTGGGGGGTTACATAGGACGCTATGGCAGCTTGTTCTGAGCGAATGGCTGAGAATCCCACTGATGTTGACATGCCCTGGGTCTTCACTCCTAGTATGCCCTTCAAAACCTCAAAGTATTCCCCTATATGATCCCCTTTAAGGAGTTTTGACTCTAGCTCATATATGAGCTATTGGCAGTACTCCTGTTACCTTCATCAGCATGAGATTTTCGGACGAAGCCATGAATGAAGCACTTCTAATGACTTTTCAAGGGGCATGCATGGTGCATTCACAAGAAGACAATTGTGGGAGGATGAGCCGGGGCATGTGCAGGAATATCTCCTTCGAAGTAGTGTCTCCATGCAATGCGCTCATGATGTGGGTATTTAGGGCCTGGCGGCACGGGCCGGCCTGGCCGTCCCCCGTCGCCCACCCAGCCCTACCTTGACCCTAATCAGCCCCAAATAAAATCCCTCCTGGTTCCAATCAAGCCAAAATGGCTTCCCAATTATGCTGATGTTGTTCCTGTACGAGGCGCGCGCGCGCGCGCGCGCCTCGTACAGGAACATCAGCTGCACAATTGGGCTCGGCTGGGCCAGGGCCCCAGGACCTGACGTTTTGGCCAAAGTTGGGAGTCGGCTGAGACGTCTTTTTTTTGGCTGTAAGGGAGAAGAGAAGAGGGTTACTGAAACCATCCAGCACGCCCCCCAAGGTCGGCGGACATACACACAACTTGAAACCCCAAACCCCCAAAAGGCGGTCATCATTTTGATTGGGATTTCCAGAAAAAAGCAGACCCCCGCCCCCGATTCAGATTTCCAATGTGCTACATTCTACAGACCCCAGAACCGCAAACCCCAAACCCCTGAGCCCTAAACCTCGCCAGCTGCTTAGCCATGACCTCTTAAACCCCCAAGCCCTAAGCCCTCAACCCCAAAACCTAAGCCTTAAACCAACCCTAAACCCTCAGTCCTAAACCCTAACATCCTAAAACCCTGAACTCTAAAATCCTAAACCCTAAGTCCTAAAGTTCCGAAGCCCCAAGCCCTAAGCCCTAACGTCCTAAAACCCCAAACCCTAAAATCCTTAACCCTAAAGCACTAAAGCCCTAAAACCCGAGCCAAAACCGAAAACCTTTGAATCCTAAACCTGAAGCCTAAAGCCCTACAGTCCTAAACCCCTAAACCCTGAACCCCCTGTCAGCTCTGGGGACTGGAAGACCTTCTGGGCCCTACGAAGAACGTCCCGACCGCGCGGAGAGTTTGAGATTGGCACTTACACCCCAATACGAGCGTGAGGCTGGTTGCAGGGTAGTTTAGGTTTTTTGGGGCTGCTGTTTTGGGTTTAGGGTGCGGGGTTTGGGATAATCGAGAATCAAGCGGAAAAGAAGAACTGACAATTGAGTTATCATCATCGACTCTTTACATAAAGGTACATACATGTTTGCCATATATGTTGCCCTGAGCCCTAAACCTTAAACCCCAACCTTCAACCCTAAACCATACATGATGTAAGCTCCAATTACCCCACAAACAACCAAGCCAGGAGGAAGCTGAGGAGCCACCCACAACGGTTCAGCCCGCGCTCGCGCCTTCAGCAACTCCAGCTTGCCCCGTCAGCACTGTTTCCGGAGCAGGGTTTAGGGTTTTGGG